CATGAGCTGAGCTAAAGTCCAACATGTAGCCAGCTGAGCCACCCAGCCACCCCTCATGGACAAGTCTTTTAATCACTAACATTAATGTAAACATAAGGAAAACCTTAATAAGCTGAGCACAACTATCAAAATGTTTCAGTGGAATAACTAGTGAACAAATGGCAGATTTATTTTGTACATTGTTTCATCTAACTCTTCCTTGAGAAGGATTTGATAGGAATGCTAATGGAGACAGAAATAATAAGTTAAAAAATACATATTAACACATTAAACTCATATTACTACTCATTGCTTTTTGTAACTGGAACACATAGCCTGAAAATGGTACAAGAATCAACACCATTAAATGTTGTTTGTAGTCAAATTTTGTTCCACTTAAATGTGTAGAAAAGGGAGTAAAATTAATTTTAAATAAAATGAGAAATCATTAAAGACTTTAAAAATTGTATAAATAAATGGTGGTTGAGCTGTCTTAATTCTACATTTATTATACTGTATGAGAAAAAAAGAAAATTAAGAAGGCTCCAACTATAGATGACGGGATCCACTTGGGCCCACAAAAGTGGTATGAAGATAATTTTAAGATGAAAACATCTGACCAGATCGCAGTCTCACACACACACACACACACACACACACACACACAAATCCTTTTACTAACTTAAACAAAGCCTCTAAAAAATACTGCTATCATAAATTCTTTCTCCAGGAGGTTTACAGCCAGAAAGGAGAGGAGAAACTGGTACCTGCATGAGAAATTATATATACAAAATTTTTTCCATACCTTCCACTTGGCTCTCCCCCATTGTTACTCATTAGTTTCCTGCTATTTCACTTCCCTTGAAGTCTTAACCCCACTTCTTATTAAGATGATATATAAACCATTATCTCTAGCTGTCCAGGGAGCCACTTGTTTGTGCATTCATTGTACATAAATAAACTTTGTGTTTTCTCTTGTTAATACGTCTTTTGAATTTTGACAGTTAATTTAAAATCCCCAAACACTGAAACCAAGTTGGTAGATGAAAAAGTTTTTAATTCCTGCCAACATCAAACTGGTGGAAATTAAGTAGTAAACATAAGTTTTTTTCATCTGTTCTTACAAGTAAGGTGTATTGATTCTCATTTTACACAAAATAGCATATATTATAGAAATAGTAAAAGAACATTTCTTCCTCCTAAAAAATATTCTTCGGCAATTACATAAATAGATTGACTAATTAATTAATAATTAACATTGGAAGCAGTGTTTCCCAAACGAATGATTTTTTCCCATGCTTGTAATATTTAGGGATAAATAGAAACCCAAATATCTCACAAATTTTAGTAAATTTTATATTCAGCTTCCTGCATTCTTCCCCACTTCACATCCAACTTTTTGAAAGTTATCTCCACCAGTGAAGTCTCATTCCTCACTCTCCACCTCTCCTCCACCCACCGCATACCACCTTCTGCTTCCAACTAAAGTGTTCAAATTGCCATTGTCAAGGTTAATAAAAAATTAGCTCTTGCTTTCATGTCCAATTAATCATTTGAGTCCATTTCTTGACCTTTGCTATTTTCATTTTGTATTAATTTTTAATTTTTTTTTAGTGTTTATTTCAGAGAGAGAGGGAGAGAGAGAGAGAGAGAGAGAGCAAGCACAAATAGGAGTGGGACAGAGAATCCAAAGCAGGTTCTGCACTATCGGTGCAAAGTTCAATGTGGGGCTCGAACTCATGAACTGAGTGATCATGACCTGAGCTGAAGTCGGAAGCACAAGCAACTGAGTCACCCAGGTTCCCTGACTTCTCTATTTTTAATTTTAAAAGGTATAAATATATTATTAAGTATTTTTAATTAAAAAAATAAACAAGTGAACAATTTACACCCACTACTCTTCCCATGTTTTTACAACTATTTTGACCTTAAATTTTTAAATCTCTTCCAAGAGTCTGTTTACTTCCCTTTGACTTGATAGATGGATGTTTTTTCACATTATTCTCATCACAATCTATTTGTACATCTATGTGTTCAGTTTTTCCTTGAACAGCTGTCTTCTTTTAGCTCTGAGAAAACACACTTTCTTCTTTTATTTTTTCAAGCTTCTCTTGATTCTAATCAGTTTCTTTTCCAGATTCTTCTGCTCTTCTATTTTATTTATATTATGTTATTTCATTTCACTTCTTTTCATTTGATTTTTAGTGTTTGATATGGATGCTTCCTTTTATCTTACCTCTTCACAGACTAATTTTGCATAAGCTTCTTTTCCTTCAGGGCTCAACTTCAATATATATTCAAAAGATTCATAAATGCTATTCCCAATCCAGAAATGTCTTCATAATTTCAGACATACATCTGACTGCCAGTAGCACCTACAGGTATACTTCATTTTATTGTGCTTTCCTTTATTGTGTTTTGCAAATAATGCATTTTTACACTGAAGGCTTGTGACAATTCTGCTTCTAGCAAGTGTTTTGGTGCCATCTTTCCCACAACATTTGCTCGCTTCATGTCTCTGTGTCACATTTTGGTAATTCTTGCAATAATTCAAGGTTTTTCATTATTATTCCATTTGAATTGCTGCAGTCTCATGGTAAAACTGTAATAGATGAGCATTTGCTTCTTTTATATGAGCAAAGAATGTGGTTTCTTGAGAGGGAATCTATTCCTGGTGAAGATGCTGTGAAGATTGTCAAAATAACAACAAAGGGCTTAGAAATTAGATAAACTTAGTTGATAAAGCAGCAGCAGGGTTTGAGAGGATTGGCTCCAATTTTGAAAAGACTTCCATTGTGGGTAAAATGCTATCAAACAGCATCACACACTACAGAGAAATTGTTCATGAAAGGAAGGGTCAATCAATGCAGCAAACTTCATCATGACCTTATTTTTAAAAATTGCCACAGACACTCCAATCTTTAGCAACCACCACTCTGGTCAGTCAACACTGAGACAAGACCCCTCACTAGGAAAAGCTAAAAGCTCAGACAATGGTTAGTATTTTTTAGGAATAAAATATATCAATAAAGGTATGTACTTTTTTTTAGACATACTGGTATTGCACACTTAATAGACTATAGTACTGTATAAAACATAACTTTTATAGGAACTGTGAAACAAAAAAATTATTTGACTTGTTTAACTGTGATACTCACTTTATTGTGGTGGTCGGTAACCACAATATCTCTTAGGTCTGCCTATATAAGAAATTGCCAATCTTTTCTTTTTTTTTTGAAAATTTTTAATGTTTCATTTATTTCTGAGTGAGAGCATGAGCAGGGGAGGGTCAGAGAGAGAGGGAGAGAGAGAGAGAGATAGAGAGAGAGAGAGAGAGAGAGAGAATCCGAAGCAGTCTCCAGGCTCTGAGCTAGCTGTCAGCAGAAAGGCAGACGTGGGGCTCGAACCCATATACTGTGAGATCATGACCTGAGCCGAAGTCAGATGCTTAACCGACTGAGCCACCCGGGTGCCCCAAGAAATTGNAAGCAGTCTCCAGGCTCTGAGCTAGCTGTCAGCACAGAGCCCGATGTGGGGCTCGAACCCATGAACTGTGAGATCATGACCTGAGCCGAAGTCAGATGCTTAACCGACTGAGCCACCCGGGTGCCCCAAGAAATTGCCAATTTTGATCTATCAGTGTTCGCTTATTCAACCACATTTCAACATGGCCACAACCACTACTATAGTACAAACCCTTAACTTATTACTCCAACATATTCTCCACAATATGTTAACTAGAATAATGTATTACTCTTATGCAAGCTGAATAATGCCACCCCCATGTATATAGCAGTTGCCCCTGGACAGAATAAAATCTAACTCTCACACTGGCATAGAGAGCCTGGGAGAGATGACCATTCTTCTCCTCCAGAGCTGCATGTCTCAGAAACAGTACTGCATAGTGGTTCAAAGGCTATTCTCTGTGGACAAACTGCCTGTGATAAATTGTTGCTTTGCTTGTTTCCCAGTCTGCCTGGTGAGAATAACAATGGCACCTACTTCATAGACTTGTGAAAACAATGCCAAATTCAGAGAAAGCACCCAATAAATATTAGATGCTAGTATCTGTCAGCTATTTAAGAGTTTTTTATCCTCTATCTTTTCCTATATAGTCTTCCCATTTTTCACCAAAAATAACTTTTTGAGGTACACAACATGCCAGGCCCTGTGATGAGAAGCCATGATATCACAATATGCAATTGGTAACTCTGTCCCCAGAGAACATACAATCTAGCCTGGAAAAGAAGAAACTTTTAATAATGTGTAATTACATAAAGGTTTGTCTAATTGCAAAATGCTTATTTAATTACAGTTGTGGTAAGGTTGCTAAAGAGAAATACTCAACAGAGCTAGTTTCAAGGGAATCTAATGTGGAAATGTGACATTCAACCTGAGATCTAAAGTATGAGCAAGAGTTAGAGGAGTAAGCGTTATGGGATAGAGAATTTGTACGAGGGGAAAGTATTTAGATTCCCTTTTTCCCCCCAAACTCTCCTTTATTCTTTCTTGCGCAACCCCAAGTTCTTGTTTTATGATTAGTTCATCATTCTCAATTGTATTCACGTTTCTTTGCAGTCCAGATTTGACTTCATCTCTCTTTTAGAGTATTATGTTTTCTCATCAAGAATACTTTTTCCAGGGTGCCTGGGTGGCTCAGTTGGTTAAGCGTCCGACTTCAGGTCAGGTCATGATCTCGTGGTTGGTGGGTTCAAGCCCCACGTCTGGTTATGTGCTGACAGCTCAGAGCCTGGAGCCTATTTCAGATTCTGTGTCTCTCTTTCTGCCTGTCCCCCACTCATGCTCTGTCTCTCTCTGTCTCAAAAATAAATAAACTATATATAAAAAAGAATGCTTTTTCCTTTTTCTTGATCATCAGGAAGAAAAAAAATGATTTAAATTACCAGAATTCCATCTACCCAGACTTCCCAGATAGTCTTTCCCTCCCAATTATTGAAAAAAAATCTTACTCTCATTCTTGAATAAGTTGGTATCATACTCACTTTGTTGATGCCTTCATATTCTAAGACTTTCTGAACACTGTTCTTTCATTCTTTTTCTAGGTATTTCATTGTTGATTTTATTCTGTCTATTATGGAAGTGCAAACTAAATAAAGACATTTAAATTATACTTCACCACTTACTCGTTGTATTTTCATGGCAATTTTTTTACTTCCTTATGCTTCAATTTTATCATGTGCAAAAATGGACTAAAAGTCATATCTTTCTGTGTTTTTTATTTGCTTGGGGGGTAAAATGACATTATATATTAGATGACCAGTAATAAGTGTTTATTGACATTATTGTTTTCATCAGCTTCTCTTCTTTTGATATACAATAACAGGTTCCAACCTGTATTCATTCTAAAGCCTATTTTATCCTTTAGCTTATATTCATATAGTATAACAAGATTGAATTCTCTTTCAACTTTTGCAATTCTTACCTCTGGTAAGAAGTCTTTTCTTTAATCCTAATAAAATCCTATGAGAAGCACACTCATTGTTTACACATGTAACCAAGTTTTTACGCTGTAGAAATTCCTCTCAAGGAAATCCAATGCATCCCTCACTCAGAACAATTTAAGAATGCCTCATTGTTTCCTTGGGTAGAACTAAGTCGAGAGTTTCCAATGTAATGACCAAATAATTTCCATTACATCACTTAGTGATTATTACAGCCCAGTAATTTAAGACGTGGACATATTTTAGAGATGAGAAAGCTCAAGCTAAGAATGATCAAGATGTATTGAAAATTATGCAGGTGAGTGAGCAGGTCTCTCTCTAATTATTAAGCCCAAGAGTCTATGATATGGAAGCATATTAGAGAGGGAAAACTATGAGTGATAATATTTACTTGTTTATCTAAATGATGTCTATTAGAATAGCCTTGTTAACAGATAACTGCCATGGGTATTACATTTAAAGTTGAAAGTATTTTTAAAGGATTGATTATTTAGGATTTACATGTCTTTTGATTTAATTAATAATAATCTTTTGAAATAACTATCAAAAATAGAATACCAAGTTCATCAGCTAAAAAGCAATTAACCCAGATTTTTAAAAAATAGTGTGGTGTGTTATAAATTGAGAGAACCATCCAAAAACATTAGTGTTATGACTGCTTCTAAGCTGTAAGAAAATAAAGAAAATGCTAATATTGCAATTGTACTGGGGAGATTATTTAAATGTCACATTTAAATGCAACAGTAAATTGTATATTGTTATTAAGTTACAGTATTTTATAGTAAACAATTACAAGTATGCTTATATAAACGTTGATGTTGATGTTTTTTCATGATCTTTGTGCTATTTTGCACCAACAGATAGATGCCATTAATTTATTTACTCAAGTATAGTTAACATACAGTGTTAAGTTATTTTCAGGTGCCCAATATAATGATTCAATGATTCTACACATTTCTCGGTGCTCATCAAGATGACTGTACTCTTAATCTCTTTTATCTACTTCATCCATCCTCTGACTCTGGCAACCATCAGTTTGTTCTCAGTGTTTAAGAGTCTGTTTTTTGTTTATTTCCTTTTTTGTTTTTTCATTTATATTACTTCTTAAATTCCACATATGAGTGAAATCATGTGGTACTTGCCTTTCTCTGACTGACTTTTGTCACTTACCTTCTAGAGCATCCATGTTGCTGCAAATGGAAAGATTTCATTCTTTTTTATGGCTGAATAATATTCCATAGTGTATATACCCCACATGTTCTTTACCCATTCACCTATCAATGGACACTTGGTTGCTTCCATTATTGTAAATAATGTTACGATAAACATAGGGGGGTATCTTTTTCAATTAGTGTTTTTATATTCTTTGGGTAAATACCTAGTAGTAGACTTACTGAATCATATGGCAATTCTATTTTTAATTTTTTGAGGAACCTTCATACTGTTTTCCACAGTGGCTACACTACTTTGCATTCCCATCAACAGTGTAAGAGGGTTGGTTTCTTTTTTTCCACATCCTCCCCAACACTTGTTATTTTTTGTCTTTTTTTTATTGTAACCATTCTGACAGATATAAGGTGGTATCTCCTTGTGGTCTTAATTTACATTTCCCTAATGATTAGTGATGTTGAGCATCTTTTCATGTTTGTGTTTCCTATCTTTATGTCTTTGGAAAAATGTATTTTCAGGTCCTTCACCCATTTTTTAATTCAATTATTTATTCCTTTTGGTGCTGAGCTGTAGATGTTCTTTATATATTGTAGATGCTACCAATTTTTAAAGTGTTTTCCTGTATATACATTTCCAGGGACACTCTCTATTTTGAGACATTCAGAATAAAATCTTTTTCCCTTAATAAGTACTTATTTTTCCACCCAGACATTTTTACCAATAGCTAGTCTACTTGGCTTTCCATAAATTTATGCTCTGTCCACTTGGATGCTGACTATATTTCTATATCAGATCTATTGCTGGAGAACAGTTTGACCTGCAAAAAGACATTTAATCCTCAGTATTTAACAAGAATCCATATTACTTGTGAAATTTGGGGCAGGTTACGTTAACTCTACATACTTTCCCACTTGTAAACCAGTGATAGTAATAGCATCTAATTCATAAATTTAATGTGAGAGTAATGCATTAATGTAATCAAAGAGTTGTACAGGACCTGGTATCTGATAACCTTACATCTGAGTGGATGTAATCTACTAGAGTGCCTCTGCCTTACAGAAGAGGATTTTCTTATTCTCTGATCATTGAAACTGTTAAAAATGAACATCCCAAAGCATAATCAGACTTATCAACACAGAGAACAAACTGATGGTTACCAGAGGGAAGAAGGGTGAGGAGATGGGCAAAATCAGTGAAGAGAAGTGGGAGAAACAGTCTTCCAGCTATAAAATGGATAAGTAATGGGAATAAAAGGTACAGTACAGCATGTAATAGAGTCAATTGTATTATGGTAAATTGAATGGTGATAGATGGTAGCTCCATTTGTGGTAAGCATAGAATAACATAGATTTGTTGAACCTCTGTTGTACACATGAAGCTAATGTAATGCTGCATGTCAACTGTACTCAAAAAGACAAGTAAATAAAAAATAAAAATTAAAAATGATCACCCACCCCAACCTGCTGCCAACCACGTTTACCATTGTACTTTGAGACCCTATTTCCAAGAACACAAGCAGCCATTATGGATTACTCCTTCTTCTTACCCTTTACTGTTCAGTATCTTAAAATAAAGGAAGGGCAGAGGTGTATTCCTTTAAGTGAAAAACATGATTTTTAGTTAGCCTTAGCCCTTGCTACGCTAATCTGTTATTGCAGACTCACAAAGGAAAGGTGCTCTTTCGAATTCCCTCCTGTTAAAAGGTCAGTTTGCTACTGTTTTAGTGAATGGTCAACTCTTTCTTCCTTCTAGTAAGTGAAAATTCTGGGACATATTTGTACCTTTATTTCTGTGTTCTGATGTACCATAAAAAAAAATAAATCACAGAAGGGGCTTCAAGTCAAATGCCATTTTCAACTAGTAGTCTAATTGACTTTGTTGTTTCATGGTAAAATAGTATTACTTACATTTTTAAACTTCTGATGACATAATGAGTGGTAACAATGTCATTTCAATCTTACCTTATAGTTTTTGACAGGGACATATTTAAAATACTTAACTTTCAGTGGAGTTCAACTACATTTTGTTTTTCATGTTTTAACATCATTAGAAATTAAACATCTATAAAGAGTGTTCTCATGCAACAGCCTTCTATTTCTGGAAAGTAGGTTATTTCATTTCTTAGGATCCCAAGATGAGATTTCACTCTCATACCATCTGGCAAGATAATAAGATAACATCTAAAATCAATACTTTAATATGATCCTGGCTAAAAACTAGCCTCAATGAGAATTAATGGCATATGGCTAAAGCTTAAGTAAAAAGAAAGGGCTAATGTTACTTTTAAAAAAATGCACATTCAAAGAAAATAACTTACTTTTTTTAGAAAGAGAAAAACAAAATATAAAGATAATTGTAATTTTTTATCAATTCAGAAAAATTGCTGATAGCACAATTAAAATATTTTTACAAAAATCTCTTCTCAAATATATTATGCTTTATTTACAAACCTCTAATCTTTTAAATCAAAGAATAAAACTGTATTTTAATTAGTAAGAACTAATTTAAAGACAAAATGAGACAGTGAGCACATGCAAAATATCTATACTTGGGATAACTTAAAAAAAAAACTTAAAAAATAAAATTATAAAAGCAAAGAAAAATAACAAAGACCTCAACAACCCAAATACTGTATTTGTATTTCTGTTCCATTTATGCAATATTTTAAGTTCAAATGAGAAAAGGGGGAATGCATTTGGATGAATTCCTCAAGTGTGAATCTTAGTCTCCAAGCACTGTTATGTATTCCTTAGGGACGGGATATAATTAGAACTGATATTTTGCTTAATTATATTGAAGTTGAGAATAAAATCTATGATTTCAGCCCTTTGACATCTGCTGTATTTGTTTTATGGTCCTATATGTTGTCAATATTCTAAAATGTTCTCTTTATAAATTAGAGTGTCTTCTTAAGTTATTCACTCTGTATTTTATGCTGGTACTTAAGACTGAACTTGTTATTTATGTGATTCAGGCTGTATGTACCCTTAGCGATTTTTAAAAAATACTTCTTTAAAACAGTCACTTAGGTTCACAGCAAAAGGTACAGAGATTTCCCATATACCTCCTGCTCCCACATAGGCCTAGATCACCTCCCTCATTATCAATATCCCGACCACAGTGGTACATGTGTTACAATTGCTAACCTACTTTGATACTTCATAGTCTATATTAGAGTTTCGTCTTGGTGTTTTGCATTCTATGTATTTGGACAAATTCAAAAGGGCATGTGTCCACCTTTATAATATCGCACAGAGTAGTTTCACTGCTCTAAATCTTCTGTATTTTGCCTATTCATCCTTTCTTCCCTTCAATCTCTGACTAACACGTATGTTTGTATTGTCTCTATAGTTTTCCTATCTCCAGTGTCATATGGTTGGAATCATACAGTATTATTTAGTTTTCATTATTGGTTTATTTCACTTAGTAACATGTATTTACATTTCTTCTGTGCCTTTTCATGACTTCATAGCTC